GTAATACTGTTTCCCCGTTTGAAAGAGTCAGCTAAGAAGTTAGCGACTCGCCCGTGTCACACAATCAGCAGAGAACAGAGACAGGACTGGAATCCAGGCTGATCCTTCTACTCTGTGTAGAAGGCTCTTTATTTAGTACACACACACACGCAAATCAGCATAACAAATAGGAAATGCTTTATATGCTATTTAGTAATCCCCTTGTCTCCCAGTCCAGTCTGCCAAATTTAAAACAATTTCCCAATGCAGGACCGGTTCTGCCAGGTATATTAGAGATGAATTATTATTCTTGCCATAGCTTCTTCATCTACAAGACAGGGCTAACAAAACCCCCTTCCTAATAGTTAACATAAAGATTAATGGCATCTTTGCAGTGTACTTTGGATTTCTTGAATCTAGAAGGCACTTACATGGCAGGCATTCCATTGGGATGGTGTTCCTATAAAACTGTTGTGACAGAAAGGTATTTAAGTCATCAGTTCCCTGTCAGCATCACTCAACAGCGCAGTGCTGAGTTTCAGCACTAGGCAGTGTTGTGTTCTCCATTGTTGATCTCCCTCCTCCAATTAAAGAAAAGTACTTATTTATTTGGCTGTGCCGGGTAGCACACAAGACCTTCCAGCTGTGGCATGAGAACTCATAGTGGCAGCATGTGGGATCTAGTTTCCTGATCATGGATTGAACCCAGGCCCCCTGCATTGGCAGTGAAGAGCCTTAGCCACTGGACCACCAGGGAAGTCTCTCCCTCCAATTTTTAAAGTTCTTTTCTCTTTGTTTAAAGAAAAACAAAGTTCTTTTTTCTTTGTTTTCTTTGGATATAGCAGGAGAGACATAGTTCAGATTATCCTAACCACTAGGCCACCAGGGAACTTCATAAATTTGTGTTTCTAAAGTCTGAAGTTGAATTTCAGAGTGAACACTCTGAATCCTAGAACATGACCCAGCAATAAATCCTGACAAACCCTGGGTGTATGTTGTTTTGTTCTTGTTTTTATTTTCCCCTTCATGCACCTTACTTACAGTTTCATCAGAGAAACCTTATTTAGCCCTGCACTTAAGCTAGATAACCCACTTTCTCTCACTGTACCTTGGATATGATGTGTGCACGTGTTCTAAGTCGCTCCAGCCATGTCCAACTCTTTTGAGACCATATGGACTGTAGCCCACCAGGCTCCTTTGTCCATGGGATTCTCCAAGCGGGAATACTGGAGTGGATTGTCATGCCCTTCTCCAGAGATCTTTCAGACCCAGGGATTGAACTCTAATCTCTTATGTCTCCTGCATTGGCAGGCAGATTCTTTATCACTAGTGCCACCTGGGTCATGATGGGTAGTGGCTAAAAGAAAACGGGGAGAGATTTGGGAAGGAACCACAGGCAAATTTTTCAAATGTTGTTATGTATACAACATTCTTACTTTTATTTTATGTCAAAAGTATCTTGTAAAGTTTGTACCTATGTACATTCCCAACAGCTTTGTACAGGTAAGCAGTTGCTTCACATGTTAGGTTGGTCAAAAAGTTCATTCAGGGTTTTCTGTAAGATGTTCTAGAAAGACCCAAATGACTTTTTGGCCAACCCAATATTTACTGCATTTGATATCCATTAGGCCCCCAAATATTGTATATGCTTATTAGACTATGGAATATTTTGTACCTTTTTGTTCTGTAAAAACTGCTTTTGTTAATTAACATCGAGGACATGGTGCTGAGGAATGTTCTCAAAGATAATAGATTGATTAAAACTTTGCAGTCTGAAGTTATATCCTGGTGGATGGAACACCCCATTCTTGCTGAAGGACCTGAAGAATATGGGTCATTCTGACACAGGCTGTTAAGTCCAAGTGCAAAGCTTTAGATAAGGAGTTTTCAGGCCCAACATCCTATGTTTATCTTAATTTTGAGATTTCCAAGGAAAGAGGACCTGGGATCAGCTTCTCAGCTTAAGCTTAGGACTGATGTTAACACTTTTACACACAGCCCCTCTCTGTTCTGAGTCTATCAAAATGCTGCTTCATTGAAATTATACCAGAACTCTGCCCTTCCTTAGAATCCAATAATGACCTTAGTCTCTTTTGTTCGGCAAGATGCCCAGCTTCCTCTGGAGTGCATTCTGCCCCACCAGCAAATTAAGAAATCCAACCCTCTGGACTACAAGTGTGTTCCTACTGGTTTCTCTATTGGCTGACTGCATCAGTCTTAAACTGCAGGTCCTGATATGATCCAGCCAACCAACATGGCTGTTCTCTTGCTCACTGTACATCCCCTGCTGGACAGTGCCTACTTCACCTACACCTGACTCCCATGCTGGCCGTCCTACCCCTGGCCCAGCTAGTGACTGTTCTAATCTTTACATCCAAGTATCTTCCCCAGGATAGCTTTTCAAAGGGGCAGTGAGGGACACACTCCTCCGCTAGCTTCCCTGGTAACCAATGACCCAATCTGATGCCAATTTCCCCATAACTGGTAACTTCTCCCTTTCCCAAGTAGCGAAAATTGCTACCATGTCTTGACCACCGCCTGCCACATATGGTGAGGTGTTGCTCCAGGACCTTGCTTCAGATGTGTAAATTACCTCTATCCATTAAACAACTGATGTCTCCATGATTGAGTCTGGGCTCTTCCTTTGGTCTTTTTTTTTTTTAATTTTTTTCTTAATATATATATATTATTGAAGAATAGTAGACTTACAGTGTTTAAGGTGTACAGCAAGGTGATTCAGTTATACATATAGACATATATTATTTTTCAGATTGTTTTCTACTATAGGTGATTAGAAGATATTGACTATAGTTCCCTGTGCTATACAGTAAACCTTTGTTGCTTGTTGCATATCTTTTTTTTTTTAATTAGAAGCGTAGCATTCTATTCATACTAAGTTAAACAAGTGGAATCAAAATATCATACTTTTTTTTTAGTTACACAAAAATTCACAAGTTTTCTAAAAGATATATTATACATACTATTTATATAAATGTATACAAGCTTTTCTACTGTGCTTGATAAAGTCTTGAGAAACAGTAACAACAACAAAAAGAGATGGAAAATTGGAAAACATAAACTAAGTGAAATGGAAGCACTAAATATGAAATAGAAAAAGTGAAATGAACTGATAAAAGTAAAAGATCATCATTTCTTTGGTCTTGAAGCTGGGCATGTAAGGGACTTGTAGGGTCTGCAGGGTGCAGCCCAGCAATCCTACATCTGAAAACAACCAGAAAATATCTACTCCGCATCCTTTGATATATTCCTTTAAAAGCATGATGGATTTCCATTTACTTGTAATTTAAGTCCTACTCAGCAAACTAGATTGAGTCTTGATCATTTCTGCTTTCAGTTCCTTCAACAATCCAAGCCAGTTGGAGCTGTTGACTGAAGAAAAACTGCATAACCTAAAGGTCACAAGTTAGGTTTTATTCGAGGAATTTACTTCCCAGGTAATTTGAGTGGTAAAGAACCTGCTTGCCACTGAGGAAGACACAAGAGACACAGGATCAATCCCTGGATCAAGATGATGTCCTGCCAAAGGAAATGGCAACCCATTCCAGTATTCTGGCCTGGGAAACCCCATGCACAGAGGAGCCTGGCGGGGCTACAGTCCATGGGGGTCACAAAAGAGCTGGACACAACTTAGTGACTAAACAACAACACAGCTCTGAAGAACTGCTCTGAAGAGGTAAGGGAGAAGTCAGAATGTACAGGAGGTTTTGCTGAAACAAAGCACACAGTCAAATATAAAAAGATTACTACTAATCACAAAAACCAGACATCTCAAGTTAATGGTTTAGTGCTTTTCGATTTACAGGAAGAGGCAAGAATCTGGCTCAACTGTTTAGAGCCAGTATCCTGTTTTTCTCCTGGGCACCCACCATCTGGGTGCTGCAGTGGCTGGTGGCTTGATGGCAGGCAATAGTCACTGTTTACTGGAATGGAAGTCAACATTCTTTGTTTACTGACATGGCAGGGAATATTTTTGTGTGTGTGCAAAGTGGCTATTTTCTCTGCCTGGAAAACTACTCACAGTTTTGCTTGGGGGAGCTCAGCTCAAGGGTCACCTCCTGCAAGTTCTCTTTGACCATTTTCATCTAGGGTGGCCATCTCTCAGGTACTTCTCCAGTTGTCCAGTGGTAAAGACTCAGTCTTTCATTGCAGGGGGTGTAGGTTCAATCCTTGGTTGGGAAACTAAGATCCCATATGCTGCAAGGTGCGGCCAAAAATTAATAAAACCTGAAAAAAATGTTTTTAAAGTGGCCATCTCTTCCCACACTTCTGCACTCCCACCCTGCCACTCTACCCCCACTATCCTAATTTATCTTCCTTACTTTTCTTATCACGAGCTTGTAATTATCTTATTCGATTATTTGCTCATTACCTCCCTATGTTGATTAGTAAGTAAATTCTAGGGAAGAAGGTACAACAGCTCTGATGACTGCATCACCTCCAGAGTCTAGAACCCTATCTGGCACTTACCAAGCCCTCAACAAACTTTGGTCCGAAACAATCAACAAATGAGGAGCTACGTGGTACTTTAATTTCCTCCTTCTCCTTTAAATACACTCAAAGCAGACCCACCTGGATTATAAATCCGCAGGACTAGGTAGAGGGCGTTCAGCCTCGCCATTGGCTGGAATATTTGTCGTTGCTGCTGGCAACCACTGTTTCCCACCAGTCGTGTTGTCGGCACGGCCCGGCCCCGCCCCTCTCCGTCCCGCCTCCGAGACGCCGAGCACCTACCCAGTAGTGAAAAACTACGCTTGCCCTTTAAGCGGCGGGGCTTCTGGTCAAATTCGTCGGCGGCCGCCGGAAGGGGAAGTTTCGCCGCCGAACTCTCCCTTGCTGGTCCGAATTCGGTGGCGCCACGTCCGCCGGTCCCCGCCTTCTGCACCGGGGGCTGGGGCGGCTTCCGCCTGGACATTTTCCACTCGCAGAGCAGGCCGCGTCGCGAGGGGGCCGGGACGGGGAGTCGGGCGGCTGTGCGCATCCCGGCCACCACAGAGGCGAAGATGTCGGACATCGGGGACTGGTTTAGGAGCATCCCGACCATCACGCGCTATTGGTTCGCCGCCACCGTCGCGGTGCCCTTAGTCGGCAAACTCGGTCTCATCAGCCCGGCCTATTTCTTCCTCTGGCCCGAAGCCTTCCTCTATCGCTTCCAGGTACTGACCGACGACGGGGCAAGTGGCGCGTACAGACCCCAGGTGGCCCCGCCGCGGCGGAGCGTAGACTGGCCGGTTGCGGACGCGCGGTGCCTGGTGGGACTTGTAGTGCAGAGGCTCCCGCGGTTTAGGGCGGGGTCCTTTGGTCCGGGGGTCGGGTGGACGGACGGGTGGACTGCTGGCCAAGGGGTCTGAGCGTGGGCCTGGATTGCTAGAGACGTGAGGCTCCACGGTTTGGCCCGGTGGGAAGGGACTGATTTCGTCCTTCTGTTAGGATTGTGCTCCCCTCCCTCTGTGGTCCGAGAAGGCGGCAGTGGGAAGGTAAGACTGGTAAGTTGTCTATCTGTGGGACGCCGGTGAGTGGCAGGCTGGGGCCACCTGGAGCACCTGCCCTCCGACCTCCCTCTGCCACTCACGTGGGTGGCATGTGGACGTCGCCTTGCTCAACCACCAGCCGAGTTCTTTTTATGTTAATAGAGTTTCTTCCCAGCAGGAGTGATTTGAAAGTCCGAGGTGCAAAGAGTGAGTCTGTTTATTTGTGTGTCTCCCAGGTCCTTAGTATCTGGGAGGTCGTAGTTGAATTTATGAAGGACCGAGTAAAGAATAAATTGCTCCAGAAATGGAATCCTTTTTTTTTTTTTTAAAGCATTAAGGGAACAGTTCAGGGTAATATTCCTGGTAAGCGAATATTAGTTTTAGGTTTATCTTTATTCACTGGATTCTGTGATTTAAATCTTTAATCAGTGCGTTGGATCCTAAGATCTGACATAATTTCAACACATTCTTTGGCCCGTGGGTAACACTAGTCTTCTCTGTCTTCATTGGCTATTTCTTAGTTTTCTTTGCCGGTTCCTCATCTTGTACCCCAGGCCCTCTTTCCTGTATTCTCCCTGGCTGCAGGTGATCTTGTTTAGTTCATGGCTTTAAATCATATCTACAAGGTGAAGTTTCTCAAATACAAATATACATACTTTCAGTCCAGATCTGTCTCACTTCCAGACTTGTATGTCCAACCATATACTTGAAATGACCACTTAAATGACTAACAGACATCACATACTTAATGTGTCCAACACTATACCCTTTCCCCTATAAGTAAATAGCAACTCCATTATTATAGGAGCTCAAGCTAATAGTCATGGAGTCATCTTTGACTTCTCTCACATCCCACAGTCTGTTAGCAAATTCTGTTTACTTTAGACAAATATCCAGAATGCAGTCCCTTTTTGTTCTCTGTTGCAAGCCATTATCATACCAGGCTTGTTCCTTTCAGTCTTTAGACAGTTAGAGTGATCCTTTTAAAACATAAATCCATGTCCTGTCAGTCTTCTGCCCAGATACTTTTCATGTCTTAACTGACTGAGTAAAGTTCAAGTCCTTTGGCCTGTGAGGCCCCCTACTGCCTCTCTGCGCTCATCTCCTACTACTCTTCACCTTGTACATTAGGCTCTACAGTGGGATCTTTCCTGTTTCATCAGCACCTAACTCCATCCCTCCTCAGGACCTTTGCATGTGATGTTTCTTGCTTGAGGATGATAAACATAGTTTACCTCCTTACCTCCTTCAAGTCTGCCCAAATACCACTTTATTGGCATTTATGATTGCCCTGCCTAAAATAGTGCCTCTCCTTCACTCTGTCTCCCTTACCCATAATTTTAATTGCTGCATATCACCCTATGATGTTCATCAGCCTGCTTCTCTTCAGAGAATAAAACTCCATGAGCACCACTTGTCTTGTGTACCACTGTCTTTGTTACCTGGATCCATGTTTGGCACATAGCAAGTGCTTACTTGTTGGTTGAATCCATGGAACCAGTGCTGGGCACTAGGGTTACAACAGTGAACAGGAAGGAAATAAGAGAGAGGCATGCGACTTTGATAGAGTATTCTAGAAAGGCCTCAGTATATTTGAACTGAAATCTGAAAGATGAGCCAGTTTTGGGAAGGTCTGGCTCTGAGGACAGTCTTGCAAGAAGAAGAAATAATAAGTGGAAGCCTTAGAGGCAGGAGCTAGAATCAGGAAGAAGACTGAATGGTTAGTACAGAGTCAGTGGGAGGGATGCGGATTAGTAGGGAGGACAGAGAGATAGCCAGGAGTAAGTACAATAAAGCAAAGATGGAAAAGTAGGCTAGGGCTTGATCCTATACGGCTTTGTGGTTGAACTTTAATTTGAAGGCACTAGAAAGGCAGAGCTTTTGAGCAAAGGACTGAACTATTCTCTTGGCTACTCTTTGGGGGGTGAGGGGAGCCCTAGTGGCTCAACAGTAAAGAATATGCCTGTATTGCAGGAGATGTGGGTTCGATCCCTGCATCTGGAAGATTGCCTGGAGAAGGAAGTGGCATCTCACTCCAGTATTCTTACAAGGAAAATCCCATGGACAAAGGAGCCTGGCAGGCTACAGTCCCTGGGGTCACAAAGAGAGTTGGACACAACTTAGCGACTAAACAACAACTCTGTAGGATGGATTTGGTGGTGTGAATGGGGGCAAGGGAGGGCTAGGTAACAGGACCAGAGAGATAAGTTAGAGGGCAAGAAAGATGGTGATTTGGATCAGGGTGTCTGAGAGAGAGAAGTGAATAGGTTTGGGAGTTGGAGTGGGCAAGATTGCAGCCCAATGGATGCAAAGGGTGAATGGGTGAAGAAGCAGGTCTCGAAGAGGTCACTGTTTTCACAGGAGCAGCTGAGTAGCTGGTGGAGCTCTTTTCTGAGATTGGGAATGTTTAGGGAGGCCGAGTTTTGGGGGTGGAGGGGGGTATGATAAAGAGTTATATTTTGGCCACAGTAAGTCTAAAGATCTGTAGGCATCCGGGTGAAGTTGAGTAAGGCAGTTGGGTATAAGAGTACGATCTGAGTGTGCAGCCAGAATTGCATATTCTTTTCTATTTGTTTTGTTGAAATGTTTGTTGCCTGGGTGAATGCTGTGCACTTTTTGCCCAGTGGCATGTTAGGTAATGTGCAGTGGTCATAAATGATCATAAATTGTAAATGGTAATAAATGAGAAGGGCCTGGTCAAACTGGCTCTTCGGCTCTCCTTGCAAAACCTTGGTTACTTCTGTAGTCAGCTTAGTAAAAGCTGTGCCAAGTCGCTTCAGTCGTGTCCGACTCTTTGTAACCCCGTGGACTGTAGCCCACCAGGCTCCTCTGCTGCATTGGTAGGTGGGTTCTTTACCACTAGCGCCATCTGGGAAGCCCTCTAATAGATTACAGGTATATAATGTTAAAAATGGTGAACTGATCAGAAAGGTCATCATTCATGTCACACTTTGCATAGTGTTCCCATCTTCCTTGGGTTATTTCTTATACGCTTATTATCCTGAGAAGCGGGGGAAGCTGTTGGCAGCAGGCAGGACCGTGCGCTGACTGCGCAGGTGTGGAGAGACCAGTATCTGTCCTTTCTTTCTGCTGCTCTGACTCCTGCTCTTTCTGAACAAGTTTAGCTTTCAGACCCACCTGGAGGAGCTCTTTTCAGCTGAAGCAGTTGAAGGAAGATCCGCATTTGAGAGACTGATGGATGGTTGCAAACAGTGTGTGATGTGCTTTCTGCAAGAGGCTCCTTTTTTCTTTAAAAGCTGCATTTTTGAACAATTTGGGAATGGTCGATTTAAAATTGTGAGTTCATGTTGGAAGTGAGAAAGTTACTTTTCCTCCTTATCCATGGGTTTCCTGTGAGAAGCTTGTTGGTTTGGAAGCCTCACATTTGTAATGTTGGTTTCTTCGTTAGGGTAGATGGAAAGGCATAGGTGTGTGTTAAGGCTCCTTGTACTGTTGTCCACAGTTCTTCATCCCTCCTGTCTCACAACCATCAATCAGTTAGTCCACAGGGATGAAATGGCTCCATATTTCTCCCTGATTAACTGGAAGAGAGATGGCAATTTGCTGCTGCCCTTGTGGTTTCTGAAATGTCTTTCAGGGCTCCCTGCATGGGGATGTTTCATTTCTTTGGGCAAAATAACATCACCGCCTTATGTCTGTGTTGGCTTCTTCATAGTTAACCTCATTGAGCCCCCGCTCATTGAGGTCAGCATTACCTCAGTTGATAGCTGCCATTTCAGTTTCTATTTTGGTGGGTTCCAGATAGTTCTCTTAACTCCTTTGCATAATATCTAGCAAAATACACAGTGACGTATTTAACAAAACATTTTGGAGGGTGCTTTCTTTCTAACCAGGCACAGCAAGTTATTGTTCCTTTTCTGTGACAGTAGAAAGACCGCGGTCTTGAGTCACGGTCCCCAGGCCTGCCTCAGCCCCCTTGCTAGTGGCATGCCCCCAGGAAAGCTGTGCATCCTTCTTGAGTATCAGTTTCTTCACTGAAAGTGTGTTAGTCTCCCAGTCGTGTCTGACTCTTTGTGACCCCCATGGATTACATAGCCCACCAGGATCCTGGAATCCTGGTGGCAAGGGAATTGCCAGGATATCCTTGCCAGGATTCCCCAGGCAAGAATACTGGAATGGATTGCCATGTCCTTCTCCAGAGGATCTTCCCGACCCAGGAATCGAACCTGGGTCTCCCACATTGCAGGCAGATTCTTTACTGTCTGAGCCCCCAGGGAAGCCCTCTCTTCACTGAAAGCAGGGATAATTTAATACCATAAGTTACCTCTGTTGTCACTCCACTGATTATGATATGCTCCTTTAATATTTTTTGGAAGAGTAGGAAAGTACAAATTACACTAAATGAATGTATTGATTATAAGGCACATCCTAATTTTGGAAACAAAAATGATTATCTTCAAATCGAGGAAAAATGTTATCTACTTCATCCCTCTCTCATATAAAAACATGGAAAAATGTTTGTGAAGTGCCCAGTAAATAGTCTCGTGGATAATCGATTAAAAAATAGTATCTATTAAAAAAAATAGTATCTATTTTTATTTATTAACCAATTCCTGCCATTGTTGCCTTCTCTCCTTGAGCAGTAATATTCTAATTTTAATTTGTAATTGAAATATAACTGTGTAACTGCTGAATTATTTTCCTGTTCTTTTGGTCCTGTTAAAAGCGTCCTGACTGGAAATGAAAAGATACGAACTCTCAATTTTTCTTAATTTGTTTCCAGGAATAATAAGAACTGGCACCAGCCAAATCAGTGTTCGGGCCTGGTGCCACATTTGCCAAGCTTTTGCTCACGTTATCGTGTTTAGCCTGATGACAGCAAGCCTAGCAGACTGACACTTGAGTGTGTTGGGGAAGAATTATATAGACACATAACTGGAAGGGGAATGAACTTGGGCTGGAGGCTGAGCATAGAAGTAGCTTCAGGGTTTGGATTTAGAGCTTTAGTGGCAAGTGTTCTGATATGTACAGTTTTTAAATCTTTCCTTTGCAGTGCTGTCCACATTATACGGTTCTGCTGTGGTCTGTAGCTAAGGTTACCCTTTAGCTCATAGCTTCATTTTTAAACTTTTTGTTGAGTTACAGTATACAAGCAGGATATATGTATATATGGCCTTCCCTGGTGACTCAGCTGGTAAAGAATCCGCCTGCGATGAGGGAGACCTGGGTTCGATCCCTGGGTTGGGAAGATTTCCTGAAGAAGGGAAAGGCTACCCACTCCAGTGTTCTGGCCTGGAGAATTCCATGGACTATAGTCCATGGGGTTGCAAAGAGTCAGACACGACTGAGTGACTTTCACTTTCATATATATATGTAAAATAATTGCCATATAGCTAGCAACCAGATCAAGACACAGAACATTGCCAGCATCCCCCAAAACCTTCCTACTGTTCCCTTCTGGCCACTCTCATCTCCAGGGGTAACTACCGTCTTGACTCTTAATACTGTAGATGGTTTTTGCCAATTTTCTTAACTTTTCCATAAATGCAATTACACAAATATTTATTTTTGTATGTCTGGCCTCTTTTCAGCAGTTTGAGTCACCCACATTGTTGTGCATGGTTATAGATTGCTCATTCTTACATTGTTCCCTTGTGTTGAACACACCACCATTTATTTACCATTTCTTCTGGTAACAGGTTTTTTGGGGGAGTTCTGGCTTTGACTCGGATGAATAGTGCACACTCCTTGGTGAACATAAGCATACATATATACCTAGGAGTAGAATTGATGACTCCTAATAGCTAGTTTAAAGTTCACAATTGAAATTGAGTGCCTTTCATTTGTTTTTCTTGCCTGTCTAGTATTCCCTCCCCCTGCCCCTGCCCCCTCCCCCCCCCCCAAAAAAGGGAAAAGCTGGAGTTTGCTAATACCAGCATTTGGCACATGGGTGCTTTTCTTTCTTACTTACTTGATGACCCATGTAGAATTTTTTTTTTTTAACTCCAACCAGTCCTTACTGTTTCAGAAAATTTTTTGTTTTTGATAGTTAAAAAAAAAAACAAAACAACTGCCCTAGACTCTGGATGGCATTTGTAATGATTTCAGTAGCACGTTGTCACATTGTTTGGGAGATTTTCATTCAGGGATGGTTGGACTAAACGCTCATCAGAAGTTGTTGGACCAGTAGCAGACCCTGATGAACAGTGTCTGGTGTTCTTTGAAGGCCTCTATGCTGGGGAGCACATGGCCTTCTTGCCCTCATTAGGTGAGGAACTCTGGGCATGATACCTTAACTCTAATGAGGGGCCTGGCTTTTCTTCGTGAAAAGGTGAGTGGTGATTCTTCCTGCCTTGAGGTTTCTGTGGAGTTAAAATAAGATGCTTGCCTGTAAATCCCATGCCCTTTGTACTGCCCCTGGCTGCCTCTTAGGGATCAGGGGATCAGTGCAGACTTTCTAGGGTTGAAGAAGTGCCTTTACCACTCACAGCCCTGAAAATAAAGCCATTTCCATTTCTTGACTGTCTCCATACCCATTAGAGGAGAGGAGGACATTTAGTTGGGTACTTGTTCAATGGGGATTTCAGAAATTATTACATTGTGTCCTTCTGAAATGATGAACTATCTCCTGGTATTTTCATATTATAATTTTAAAGTAATACAAAGATAATTCCAAGTCCCTTAGATCAGTGAGAGCAAGTATAACTCAAGGGTAAGCCTAATGAACTGGGAAAAGAAGCGCAGTATTTTGACAGTCGCTGATTTCCAAAGCACAGGTGCACAGTGACTAAAAATAGTGTCGTGTCGTCAGTGTTAATGAAAAATGTAGTCGGGAAAACCTGGAGGTTTCTTTTCCAAAATCAGGCCTGGAGTAACTTAGAAGAATGTGGGGGTAGATTAAAATGGGAATTTGTAAAAACCAGGTCAGTACGTGTCTTCTAAAAGATATTGTAATGATAGTACACCCCACACTTTTTTTTTTTTTTTTTTGGTAAAGCACCTTTTTCATCTACTTTCTTAATTTCAAGCTTTGACAAAAATCTGTGAGTCAAGGAAGGAGAGAGTCAAAGACAAATGTCACAGGGTAGATGAAAGTGCAAACTCAAAGGTCTAGATGTTTCCAAGGCCCCACGGGTTCCTAAGAGCCAAGGCTATAGCTCACTTGCTTCTGGTCTTTCCCCCCAGTGATTTTCTGAAGCAGAGAGTGAATTTGTGGGCTTGCTCTCAGTTCATTTGAGGATTCTACAAGCAGTATAGTAGTACTGAGAATTTTTACCGATTTTAATTATACCTCATAATAATGATGTCACTTGTGAGAGGCGTTGTAAAAATAGGGGCTTAGTGTCATAAACTCCAGAGCCTGGCTGTCTGGGACAAACTTTTCTTAGCTCTACCAATTATTAGCTATTGCTTAACCTTTTTTCATCCTGTTGACTCATCTATAAAATCTACCTCTTGAATTAGGGCATGCACGTGAACATAAGAGCACATTATTTTTATTTTTTTAACCATTGACTAAAATGGATAAAACCAAAGAGGATATCATTCTTCTTTTACAGTGGAAACTGCGGCTGAAGAGAGAGAACATGTAAGCCCTGGCTGAAATCTCTTGTCTTTTCAAACCATTTCCAGGGCTCTTTCCGTCTGACTGTTCTGTTTCTGTGATAAAATTGTGAATAAACCCAAATGAATTTTAACTTGTGTTGTTTCACTGCTTTAAGCACAGGGTTGCTGCAAATGACTTTTCACGGTATGAAAAGTGCATTTTCACCCATTGGGAGTGAAGCTCAGAGGGTTACAGTCTGCACTTGGAGCGTGTGACCTGCCAGCCATGCCTGGCCAGGCCCGACAACGAATGCCCTCTGTTCCAGCCACACCCAGGTTATTAGCCGTACCCATTCATTTATTGTGCTCTCACAGTTCTTTGAGAGTTTGTACTCATTTTTCTGAGACCAAAGTTCCCTTCGTTGTGCCCACTCTTGCTTCTGCGAACAGACTCCCCATTATTGAGACCTCCTGGATGTAGGGACCCCATCATTCATACTCGTGCAGTAAGACACGCGGCCATCAAGCCAAAAGCCAGCGTTATGTTGGCTTTTCCAAAGGTCTGGGAAGGCTGCCATCTTCCACCACTACTATTTGATGTTCTCAAAGTGTTAGCCAATAAATTAGACAAGAATAAGATACAAAATGTTATTTACAGGCTTCCCTGATAGCTCAGTTGGTAAAGAATCTGCCTGCAATGCAAGAGACCCCGGTTTGATTCCTGGGTCAGGAAGATCTGCTGGAGCAGGGATAGGCTACCCACTCCAGTATTCTTGGGCTTTCCTGTGGCTCAGCTGGTAAAGAATCTGCCTGCAGTGCAGGAGAACTGGGTTCAATCCCTGGGTTGAACAGATCCCCTGGAGAAGGGAAAGGCTATCTGCTCTAGTATTCTGGCCTGGAGAATTCCATGGACTATATAGTCCATGGGGTCGCAAAGAGTTGGACATGACTGAGCGACTTTCACTTTTACTCAGAGTTGAGTACTTGGACTGCATTGGGAGCTTAGGGTCTTAACCACTGGACCACCAGGGAAGTCCTGATACTGTAATTCAGTTTTAAAATTTTTATTTATTTATTTTTGGCCACAGTATTCAGAATCTTGGGCTTCTGGTGGTGCTAGTGGTAAAGAACCCGCCTGCTAATTAATGCAGGAGATGTAAGAGACGCAGGGTTGGGAAGATCCCCTGGAGAAGGGCATGGCATCCCACTCCAGTGTTCTCGCCTGGAGAATCCCATGGACAGAAGATCCTGGAGGGCTGCAGTCCAAGGGGTTGCAAGTGTCGGACATGACTGAAGCCCTTAGCATGCAGCGCACATTTGGGATCTTGGTTTCCCCAACCAGGGATTGGATCCACACCCCTTTCAGTGGAAGCACAGATTCTTAGTCACTGGACCACCAGGGAAGTGGCCTGTAATTCATTTGTGATAGGCATAGCTGTAAGCCTGATTCTAATAAGTATTGCCCATATACTTCTGTTGTATTGGTTGTTTTCAACTTGTCTAGAAGTATTTATTGTTTGTTAAATGATGCCATCTTAACTCCATGGACTTACAGGTTGATGGGACTGTAGCTGATAAAACTTTTCTTCACTTGTTTTCTTAAATTATATTGGTGATAGCTCTTATCACTGAGGAGAATGTTTTGCAAGGGTTAATTTTGTTTAGCTAAAAAAAAAAACAAATCTCAGAGAAACTAACAGCTGTGTTTTATTTGATCTGGACAGATTTGGAGGCCAATCACTGCCACCTTTTACTTCCCTGTGGGTCCAGGCACTGGATTTCTTTATTTGGTCAATTTATACTTCTTATATCAGTACTCCACTCGACTCGAAACAGGTATGTCATCCCTGGTTTTTTTAAGTGTTGTTTTTGTCTATTTTGCTAAGCCGTGTATTTACGTACTGGAGGAATTTTGAGGGCCGTTAGCATATATAACAAAATGACTCAGGGACTTCCCTGGTGGTTCAGTGGTTAGGAGTGAGCACTTTCATTGCCGGGGGCCCAGGTTCAATCCCTGGTCAGGGAACTAAGATCCCACAAGCCACGCAGTATGGCCAAAAAAAAAAAGAAAAAGAAAAGAAGAAATGGCATAGTGATGTAAATGTTCATAAGTAGTAACTGTGCCAGGACTCTACAAGGCACTTAGATTGTTTGATTTTTAATCCCCACAGGAGCGCCGTGGGGTGTCAGCAGCAGTGTCACCATTTTATAGGTGAAAAAGACACAAGGGCAGAAGTTTCTGCATTTTGTTCATATCCTGTGTGGCTGGACAGGATACCTATCACTTATCGCCACATCTCCCTCATTTGTGTCACACGGCAATCCCTGTATTTTAAGGCACAGTTGGGCTGAAGTGTATACATCTCCTAAATTGGTGTTGAAAAACACTACTTTATTGCAAGTAAAAGCCTAGTCTTAGTCTTTGTAAGTGAAACACTCAACTTGTTAAAAAAATATACAGCTAGGGTTTATTTTTTTGCCGTACTGTGTGGCATGTGGGATCTTAGTCCCCCAAGCAGGGATTGAACCGGGGTCCCCTGCATTGGAAGTATGCAGTCTTCCACTGGACCGCCTGGGAAGTCCTGAGAGGCATTTTTAAAGACATATTTGTGTATTTTGGCTGTGTTGGGTCTGAGCTGTGGAATGTGGGCTCTGTAGCTGTGGCGTGTGGGCTTAGTTGCCCCACAGCAGGTAAGGTCTTAGTTCCCTGACCAGGAATCGAACCCGTGTCCCCTGAATTGGAAGGCAGATTCTTAACTACTAGACCACCAGGGCAGTCCCCTGAGAGGGGTTCTTAAAAACAACTTTATTGATCTATAATTTATATGCCATACACTCCCGCCCACTCGAGGTGTATAACTCAGTGGCGTTCACAGAGCCGTGCAGTCATTGCTGTGATCCACTTGAGGGCGTTCCGTCACTGTAGCCGTCCCTCATCTCTGTTCAGCCTCCTCTCCCCCGACCCGGCTGCAGCCCTCGGGCAGCCACGAACCCGTGTTCTGCGTCTTCAGGTTTGCCTCTTACGGAGTTTCTTATAAATGGAATCATATAAGCTGCAGTGTTTTGTATGACTGGCTTCTTTCACATAACATGGTGTTTTCAAGGTTCTTCCATGTAGTATTTATGATTAGCACTTCATTCCTTTTTTTTAATTTTTAAAAATTATTTAGAAAAAATTTATCTGGCTATACTGGGTCTTAGTTGCAGCATTTGGGATCTTTAGTTGCGCCATGTGGGATCTAGTTCTCCAACCAGGGATGGAGCCGGAGCTCCCTGCGTTGGGAGTCCAGTCTTCCCTGGACCACGAGGGAAGTCCCTCTTCATTTCTTCTTAATTGCCAAGTTAAGATGCTGTTGTATGGATTTACCACATTTCGTTGTTGCATTCATCAGTTGATGGACATTTGACTTGTTTTCTCTTCTTTGCTGTTATGAATAATGCTATACAAGCATTCATGTAGAGAGGAACTTTTGAGATCTTTCAGTTAACCCTCTTAATTCACAGACAAGAAAACAATGGTCTAGAGAGGTGGTGATATGCTCCACAGGTCACAGAGCCGTTTGAGAAACACAGCTAGGGCTGGAACCCAGTTTACTGACCCCCGTCTACCTTCCACCATACAGTTTTAAGATGGCATTGCGACAAAATGTTTGCCACCTGCATTTTCCCCCGCTTGGCTGTTTTAAGTATCTCGCAGTGTTGGCTGGTTTATAAGGATTCTGATGGTGAAACTAGAAGACTGCAATTTGAGGACCAGTTAATTTGTAAATTTCCAGTTGCAAGCTTGCCAAATAATACAGTACTGTAGTTTGTGTAATTACAGTATTTTAAATATTCAATCTAAAGAATCCTTAGAAATCACAAAGCCAAAACCACAGCAAAAGAAGCACAGCTGTTACTAGAATTTAAAGATTTTGTGAAGAGTTTCAGCTCTGGTACATCATCCTGATTCCCTCCCATTAAGCATCCTTAAAACTGTGGCTAGAGTGTGCCTTTGAGGTGGGGTGGGGGCGGATGAGGAAAAGAGAAGAGACTTTTGCCTGAAATCTAGTTTCTTTTAGGTTGATTTTCTGCCTTTCTGATACTGGTTAGGATTGTTACTTTATTTTTGTCTGTTGGTTGCGGGGAGTCTTCGTAGCTGCGCTTGGGCTTTCTCTAGTTGCGGCGAGCAGGGGCAAGTTCGTTGTGGTGCGTGGGCTGCTCATCTCGGTGGCTTCTCTTGTTGCAGTCCACGGGCTCTAGGGCATGTGGGCTCAGTAGCTGTGGCACAGGCTTAGTTGCCCCATGGCATGTGGGATCATCCCAGAGCAGGGATCTAACCAGTGTCCCCTGCGGTGGCAGGCAGATTCCTTACTCTTGGATCACCAGGGAAGCCTGAATTTATTTTTTAATTTTAGGTTTTCAAAGGCTGGTTTCTATGTATAGTTATTAAAAAATATTGGCTACATTTCCCATGTTGTACAACACACCCTCGAGCCTGTTTTACACCTAGTATTTTGTACCTTCTGCTCCTCAACTCCATATTGTCCCCCCACAACTAGTAACCTCGTTTGTCCTTTACATCAGTGAGTCTGCTTCTCCTTTGTTACATTCACTAGTTTCTTGTATTTTTTAGCTTGTTAGGATTATTTTTAAAAAGTGGACTCTGTATCATGTCATTGTGATGGGGTGTGGAGCGGAGGGGAAGTGTCTGAGATAGAGGGACCTTGCCCTCGTTCCATTCTTTTCTCTGCCCCTCTCCTGATCTGCCAGCGGGAGGTGTGAGGACCGTCCTGAGACGGGAAAGCGGGGCTGCTGTCCATTCTTCGGCCCAGTAATAAGGCGGAGCCCAGTACGTGGTGTAGCGGAAAGAACACGTAACTAGCAGTTAGACTTACTCTGCTTCTAAAACCCAGGTGGCGCTGGTCGGGTAGCTTTACTTCCTCGTCTGTAAAAAGGGGGTATAGGTCTTCTCATTCTCCCTCACTTGGGGGAGGAGGAGGAAGAATCAAGGCTGCAGAAAGGTGTGGCTTTCCACTGCTCTCCCCACCGTTGTCGTCCTTTGCTAGAGTGGGAGCTCCTGGAAGATGGAGACTGAGGTATCTCAGTAAGCCCAGTGCCGGACCGAGAGAGAGCGTGTGTGTGTGTGTTCAGTAATAACAACAACAGTAAGTACAGCCTCGTTGTGGGGAGGAGTCACAACGGTAGGCAGTGTGGACAAGATTCCTCCCGACAGAGCTTACGGTCAAATGGGTGAAGAAGGGAAGAACCAGGCAATCACAAATGTGCCTCCATCTCGTGATGACAGCTGAGAAGGAAAGGCCAGCGAGCAGGCTGTGAGGGGCTTCGGGGCGTGGGGTCTTAGTAGCTGTGACCTGACTCTCCTCCTTTTGGATCTCTCCTGGCTCCTGCTAGCCGAGCAGAGTGTGTAACGGACTGGACTTCAGTCAAGAGGGCACAGATTAGCCTGGATACCCCGGTGACTTTACTTCAGGGCTTTACTGCAGACGTGGTTTTAGATAGTAAAAAAAAATGTTCTTTTGCTTCCGAGGAGTGATTTAAAAATATTCTCATGTTTTTGCTTCCTCTGTAGTTTTTTGAAGTATTTTTGAACATTGAAGTTTCTTTGTTCTGAAATTCCGAACCATGACATTTGACTTATTTTTGTTTCCAGGAGCTTTTGATGGGAGGCCAGCAGACTATTTATTCATGCTCCTCTTCAACTGGATTTGCATCGTGGTATCCTTTCGTCTGTTATCTGGGGCCGGAAATAACCAGTTTTGGCTCTTTTTTCAGGTTTGGGGAAAAAGGCAGTAATCTGTAGGACATTTCCAGTGGTAGTTATTTGCATCTTTATTTACTGTAGTTAATAGCTAAGAATCATTAAAGTTCTTCTCAATAGCGGTTGTAAATCACAGAGCCCCAGAGTGATGCCTTCCCTTGCTGTTGTCTTTGTGGGGTTTTTCCACATTTGGTTGACTTTTATTACCGTTCCCTCTTCTTGTTCCCAGTTCTCTATGTTCTCGGGTGTGACAGCTTGTTGACTGCAGCACAAAGAGATTCCATGCCATGAGACAGCTTTTGAAAGCTGTGGTCCTTATCAGAAAACTAATTTACAACCAGCACCCTTGCCTCACTTTAGTGCCGTCCAGTGATTCAGTCCCTCTGTGAGGACCCGGCTGTGGGAGAGGCCCAGCGGGCCTCTCTGCTTGCTGTGCGTCAGCTGCGGTTGTCAGCAGCCTTTCAGCTTGCGGACCTTCCCAGGTGGTGAGTGCGGCAGAAGGGGCTTGTCAGCTCCAGCCCTGTGCAGAGTTGGTGAGCTCAGAGTGGCTCTGGGGCTCAGCGTCCGCTGAAACCTGGCCAAGAGCCCAAAAAGTGTGGCACTTTGCATGCCTTTCCCCTCCTTTAAGGGAAGATCAAAAACTTGTTTTGGACTTCACCTGTGCTGGGGAGCCCTGAATGATAGGAGAAGCATTAGCTATTTCAGGGAGCGCAGGCCCCTCCATCTCCTAATTGCAGTGGCAAGGCCCAGAGGATACAGGCGATCAAACTGAGTCATGGGCCAAAGTAGTTAATTTCTACTATTTCTTCATGATTGAAGAGTCTAATAGTGTGCTCACAGTGACGGTGACTAGATACCTTTGTGTTCTGGGGTGTTTTAAGCAACCTGAAGTATTTTTCCTTCCGGAAACTGGAATGAAATGAACTTTTATTAGGTGTGGAATGCTCTATTTGTGCCTGATCTTTAACTTGACAAACCAAGATTACTGGCTTAGCAATGGATATGCAGGTAAGTGTCCCTTGAAACTGTTTGCCCCAAAAAAAAAAGTGTTTGCCCTTTCGTATGTTTCAAATTTACTTTTAATGGCCTTCAACAGAAGTTTAAACTTCAAAAGTTTAAATTGCATTAAATTGCATTAATTATATGGTATTTTGAAGATTCCAACGTGAGTTACCTAAATCATTACTTTCTTTGCTCATTTCCGGCTTCTTTATTATGTGTGAACGTTGAGAATGATGGTTATCCAGTATTTTCTGAGCATGTACATGGATGTGTATTTTTTAAAAAATGAGAATACACCATAAGTAAAGCTTTTTGCATACTTTTTTCAAGTAACAGAACTTGACCCTGGTATTTCTGAATCTATCCCAAATAATGTAATTGTATTTTATTAGAGGATTTTAAAGCATGCATTGCATGTTTAAGTAAAAGGGCCAATTTATAATTGTGGTGAGTTTAATTTCTTTTCTGCATTTTCAATGCATTTTGAATAGCCATGTGATAGTTTACTTGGAGGGGAGAGGTTAAAAACAAAAAAAGATAGATTCACTAAGCCTCTGTTTTTAGCCTTATCTTTACATGTTCGCTTCTTTTGTTGCAGTTGCTGATGATTCCTCTGATCATGTCAGTACTTTATGTCTGGGCCCAGCTGAATCGAGACATGATTGTGTCATTTTGGTTTGGAACACGATTTAAGGTACTCTAACCTAGTTGAAAAAATTGCCTTTTCATCCGTCTCTGCAGAGATCTTGCTCTCCCGCCAGAGGTGTACTTTCTGATATGTCCGGCAGAGGTCACTGCAGAGCAGTGAACCATCGGCAGGCCCCTGCTCCCCTCCATAGCTCCCCTGGGTTTTAGTCAGCCCGGCCTCCTTTGCTGACCTCTCTGGCTCTGGACCTCAGGTCCCTCAGGCATGGGTCCTGAGTGAGCTCATGGATGTGAGTGTGGTAGAGGGAGGGTAGGAAGGATACTCAGATGGAGCCCCCCCTTTAAAAATCTCTGATCATCCCCATTAGGTATTTTACACTTGAGCTGAAGCAGATTGGTTTTTTGCCGCCCAACACTTCCCTTTGTGTCTCCTCTCACAGTTTTCCTCCTGTAACATCGTTTTGATTTTCTTTCTCGTGTAAATCCTGCCCATTCTTAATCAGAGTTGGTACTGAACATATTTATTCCTTTCTTGCCTGGAATTGGTCTTGCCTTTGGGCTTCTGAAATATTTTGTGTTCTTCTTACAGTCCTTACCACATTCTGCCTTCAAGTTATTGATATGTAACCCTTTCTTTCCCAGTTTGTGATATTTTTGTAACTCCCTTAGCTCTTAAGTATGATGTCTTTGACTCTGTTAAGGGGTGTTAACCTCAAGTAAATAGGCCGCCAGATATATCTCCAGCCAAGACAAGTTTACCGGGGAGAGCTGCATTTCGAGGTCTATAGCTATGGCAAGCCACATCCTAGGCCTTGCAGCCGGTGGTAGGAGAGTATGTTTATAGAGAGAGGAAACGGAAGTCAGGCGGGCCGTGATAGACAAAGCTTTTCATTGGCTGAGTCCTTATAAGGAAAGAAGTCTGGCTGCTTCCTGTTGGGCTCAGCTGTTGAAACAGGACGTGAGAGCGCCCCCTCCTGGTCTTCAACCCTACTTAATTGAGGTTTCTGTTTATAAATTTTTCACAGGGGCTCAAATGTTGGATGCATCTGGAGAGCTGTCTTATTTGGGAGAGTATTAGTTCAGGATACTGACATATAATTTGATAAGGATTCAAAGTAACTGTGAAATATGTAAAAGGAGAACCTAAAACAATGAGATGTTTTTTAGTTGATTGGTAACAATTTGCTGGCCGGAGCCTTCCTGTGAATCTATTATGGACCATTTTTTTATTAGCATCCACAGGACATTCATCTACTTTCTAAAGCTATTTGTTATAATTCAGCAGGTCCTGTATTGCATCTGAAAACTATGAGCAAAGTACTGTCTCTCCAGTTGCCAACATATGAATAAGTATAATTTTAGATGGGAAGTTTCAGGTATACTAGGAGTGATGCTAGACTGAACTAAGGAATTTTTGCAGGACTTTCCAAAGGATGTATAAAAACCCTTGTTGGGACAACCTTACCCAGTTCAGCCCCCTGGCAGTTGTGTCCTCTGCAGGTGTGGTTATTCATGTTTCTGTATATTCTCTCCTAGGCTTGCTATTTACCTTGGGTTATCCTTGGATTCAACTATATCATTGGAGGCTCGTAAGTGATAGTAGATTTGTTTAATTTCAAATTAACCCTTGGAAGACTTCCATTACTCTTTATCTTCCTTCCCTAATCTTTATAATACTTTGAAGAGTCTCAGCATTGATGATGCTTTTGAAATAATTTCATTTAGATGTAATTGATTAAAGTCCCAGGGCTTTAAGCACATTGAGCACTGAATGGTTTTTTTGTTGCTGTTAGTTTGTTGTCATAGGATAGCTTCCCTGTATGCATTTTTGAATAAATATTTATTTCTGGATTCACTGTCCAGATATTGAGCAAGTATAGACTTAATTTTATCCAAGCCGACTCCTCTGTGCATAAAATTCATGTTTTTATTTTTAAGGCATTTCCAAAATGCCTTGGAAACTGCTCACCAGTCACAGGAGTGCACAGATTCTCAGATGGGAAGTTTTGTTAGTGGTTTGATAGTATGAAAGTTTGGGCCAAACAGGGTCAAATTTCTAGTCTGGAATTAGACCTGAGGCTTAGGAAAACCTTGCAAGGATCCATTCACAATTTTGGCAGGAGGATTTCAAGATGCAGCTCTTCTAACAACTCCTACTCTTCAAAATATTTTTAATGTTTTAAAACAGATTTTGATCGTATTAGTTCTTAACCTGATGATGTCTTTGCTCTATGGGGTTCTAACTTCTGCTGCGTATCCCTAGGCAGAAGGGAATGAATTGGGTAAACAGACTCAGTTTAGAGCAAAGCCAAGTCCTGGGTGTTGGTCTGGGGAGCAGTTGTAGATGTTGATCAGGCCCTAACAGGAATGATATTGCAGGCGGAGACAGAGAAGGATGTGTAACAGTAAGAGTGGATCTGTAAAACCTTGAAGTGGCCTATATGTCAGCCATGGGAAAACTGAAGAAGGGCCATGTTTATTTTAGAATTACAAGGTGAAGGTCAGCTTTCCAGAGTGATCTCTGTGGTGTCTTACAGTCAAGGATACAAGAGGTGAGGGAGATGTGATCCATGGCTGCAGGAACAGGGGAGTGGACATTTTTTAATCCTTCCTTGCTCCTGTGCCTGTCTCTCGCCAGCCTTCAAACATGCCCCTGTTTTGCAAACACGGTGTTTGTGACTGAAAGCGTTCAGAAGCTTGCAACTTCCCCCCACCCCCCACCCCTTCCTGAGGCAGGAAAGTGGCAAAAACAATGTTTTGAGAATGGGCTGGGGCTTGAAAGAGATGTCAGAGAGGCAGCTGGCCTTGAAGAGCCCATACACCATTGGTTCAGGAGGACTGATTTCGCTTCTCATTCGGAATGCGCGCGCCCCTCAGACTGCGCAAGGGCTCACTGTTGGGCTGTCAGACTCCCAGGGACCGGAAATGAGCTGCCACGAGGGATCTCTTCCTGCTGCTGTTAGTTAAAACTTGCTGCGGCTCACTTGGCTGCTTGAATGTCTTCAAACTCATCTGGCTCTCTGTTTGCAGGGTCATCAACGAGCTAATTGGAAATCTTGTCGGACATCTTTATTTCTTCCTCATGTTCAGATACCCGATGGACTTGGGAGGGAGGAATTTTCTGTCCACGCCTCAGTTTTTGTAAGTGCGTCTACCCCCTCTCGTTTGACAGTTTCTATGTTCGTCTGCCTCCCGATAAAGACTGTGAGGGGTAGGAGTTCCCTCTTTGTCTGATGGAGAAAGGGTGAGCCAGCCAGGGACTTGCGCTGGTCACTCCAAGCTGAGGCCCGCTCTTCTCCTGGAGCCTTCTTCTCCCTGTAAAACCCCAAAGTGGCCTGTATGTCAGCCATGGGTAAACTCAAGAAGGGCTGTGTTTATTTTAGGATTACAAGGTGAAGGTCAGCTTTCCAGAGGGACTTCTGTGGTGTCTTACAGTCAAGGACACAAGAGGTGAGGGAGCCGTGACCCACGGCTCCCTGTGATGCCTGAATCCAGGCTCCAGGAGAAGAACAGGGAGCCGTGGGCTCTGTTGGGCGGGCGGGGCGCTTGTGTGTGTTTCCGGGGTGAGCCTCAGCGGCCCAGGGTGACGGAGGTACAGCTGAGGAAGGTGTAAGAGGGTAAGCAGGTTCATCGGTTAGCAGTTTAAAACATTTTTATATTTAGTATCATAGACTAGAACCTTTAAAGGTCTTTTCATGTTAAAATGAGAGACTGGAGGGTTGTGTCCTGCAGCCCGTTCTTTCTGTTTGCAGGGCGTACTTAGTGAGGAGGCTGAGGACTCAGCTTTGGTTTGGAGGCAGACTTGGGTCAGAGTCCCATTCCCCTCATCGACCAGTGTGGACATTGGGAAAGTGACTCAGTAAATTTCCCCCAGCTTTCTTTTCGAGTCTGTGAGTTGAGGGGTGGCCCCGTCTCACAGGGCAGCCAGAAGTGGGGTTCACCCTCGCCAGCACAGGAGTGGGTGCTCAGTAAATATAAGCACTCTCAGCCTTGCTCCTGAAATTGGGGCGGGGAGAGGGGGCGGGATTCTGATGCACCCTCCCACCCCCTCAGAGATGCTGACACGCTTAAGTGTGTAAGCAGTGTGACCGTCCTGTCAGGGAAGCAAATGGCTGTTGGAGAAGGGACCAGTAAATTCGCCATCTGGTGTCGCAGCCAGCCTGACAGTCACTCCTGATCTCTGGTTGGGCATATGTGGTGATAGCTTGCACTTAGAAGCTTTAAAAAAAAAAAAGGCAAAGACGCGCTTTTCACATCTTGCTCATTTTAGTGTTTTGCAGTTTGCCATCCATCTAAGGGGTCAATGAGGGCAGTAAAACTTGAGTACCTCCCCCTACTCCTCACTTTCATAGGTTGGAGGAAGGTATTTGAAAGTCCTTCATTGTGAAATATACAGAGAAGTACACTGTTGTTGTGTATGTGTGTCTTTTTCTTTGCTTCCCCGCCCCCCCCCGCCCCCCCCCCCCCCTCGCCCCTTCATTAAGAGCATGAAAAGAAACTTGTTTCTCTTCTGAGTCTTGAGTTGCCTTCAGGCTAAAAAAAAAACAGATGACCAATCTGCTTTCTAATTATCAAAGGACACAATAACAGCAGGCTTGGATTTTTAATCTAGGTTTATCAAATCTGATGGCAGATGCATCATTAAAAAAAAAAAAAACTTGTTGCTTTGGGGGGCAGCCAAGAGTTATTTTACTTTAAACAGCCATATTCTGATTTAATAGCTTGGAGACATTTCTCAGTTGTGGGCAACAACATGTATGAGATTCTAGTGGCAAAACCAACAGCCCACTGGAGCCTGCCTTCCTCATGAGCTTTCCCTGTTGGTGGAAGCCCTTCTGTGAAATTTTGCATAAAGATCAGATGACAAAATGTAGCTCCTTGCAGAAGCAGTAACTGCTTTGAAATTATCATAAATCTTTGTTGATTATGTATAATTGGGTATCTTTTTATACTAATTACTTGCATTTAATTTCACTATCTGTTTAAGCAGTGGCGATGGCTTCCATATTGTCTCAGAGTCAGAAGCAAAGCAAGACAGCCCTGGCGTTGCCTTTTTTAAGTCTTCCAATTTATTATATACTTTGGAGGAATGTTATTTGTGCCAGAATGTTATGAATGTTGGGAAACCAGTGCTTGGAAATACATGTTGATTTAATGATCAAGCTGAATTTGTTTAAAAGGGAAGATGTGAATTACAGAATTCTAAGACGTATCACTGTTTTGCATTCTGCTTAGAAAAGTAGACAGGGACTTCCCTACCAGTCCAGTGGTTAAGAAAACGCACTTCCACTGCAGGCGGCAGGGCTTCAATCCCTGGTTGGGGAACTAAGATCCGGAATGCTGAGAAGTATGGCCGAAAAAAAAAAAAGAAAAGGTAGACAGATCCTCTTCTGTTACTTTTGTTTTTACAAGGAGTTTAATTGTCTTTTTGGAGAGGGAGTGTGCAGCTCACAGGGTTGATGTATAAAGATATGAGGACTTTGGTCACTAACTGCTGTCATCTGAATCAAACACTGTGTATCCTATGGATGGTGTGAGGTGCAGGCTGTGGATTGGGGTATGAGCTCCAGAGTCAGGCTGCGTGGGTTTGAATCCTGCCTGTCACTTCAGAAGAGCTTGACTCAATTCTCCCTCAATTTTCCCATCTATAAAATGGGGTAATAATAGTATCTGTTGAGGGCAGTTGTGAAGATGAGATGCATATTTAAACAAGCAGTACCCAGTGTGAGGGAAATGCCTTATGATAAATTTGAGCTCCTCAGGCTTTCTGCTGTGGACAAGTCACCCCTCGTGGTTTGTTCTTGGTGCCAAGTGAAAGTGAAGTCGCCCAGTCATATCCGACTCTTTGCGACCCCATGGCCTGTATCCTACCAGTCTCCTCAATCCATGGAATTTTCCAGGCAGGAGTACTGGAGTGGGTTGTCATTTCCTTCTCCAGGGGATCTTCCCGACCCAGGGATTGAACCTGGGTCTCCCTCATTGCAGGCAGACGCTTTACCCTCTGAGCCACCAGGGAAGTCCTTGGTGCCATGAGGGGTGTAAAATGGGATATCAGATCACAGTCTCTGTGCTTCAAGCTGAAAATCAAACCATCAGGATCTGATAAGTGGAACAGGTGAAAATAGATGCTCGGTTGACAAATAATCAAGGAAGGAAAATAGTTGGAAAAACTACTGAGAACATAGAGTCCTGGGCTTACATTTTCATAGCTGTTCTGTGACTCTGAATTTATTAATTTGAAAATTGGGAAATCAGCTAACCGTTTTGGGCCTCAGCTTTCCCACCATCAGTGAGATGGAAAGAATGCAGTTGGAGGAAACACAATGAATGAACTTGAAAACATGCCCAAACTCCAGGACAGAAAGCCACCTTCTCCCCTGTCCCTTGATGGACATGAAGAACCCAGTTGCATCATGGAGATGCCGTGAGGTGCTCAGACACACTGGTTGTGGATTTTTCCTTGGAACTGAATTTACTTAGGGTCCTTTGAGCAAGCTAGCTCCATATTTATATGCTATATAGATGGTTTTTTCTGGTTCCTGGGCTTGTGGGTGTTAATGTTTTTGTTTCCATACTTACTGTTCCCACATAAATTGCTTTTGTAATCAGGAAAAAAAAAATTAGAGTGTGAAGTTAGTGTGAAATCTTAGTTAAAAAAAAAAAAATCGTAAAAAGTGAGTGCCTTCTGTGGTCAGGGCATTGAGCTAGGTTCTGAAAGGATGCTTCGCACCTGTGCTCGCTCAGTCGTGTCCGACTCTTTGTGATCCCATGGACTGTAGCCCACCAGGTTCCTCTGTCCACTGGATTTTCCAGGCAAAAATACTGGAGGGGGTTGCCATTTCCTCCTCCAGGGGATCTTCCCGACCCAGGGATCGAATCTGTGGCTCCTGCATTGCAGGTGAATTCTTTGCCTGCTGAGCCCTCAGACAGAGTTAAATAGGACATTGTCCTCAGCCTCTCCATGGCCACAGACGAATGTAATTCGATGTGACAGGTGTCATGGGAACCCCAGGAAGAGAGATAAGGATGGACAACTACGTGGAAATGACTGTGATTCTCTCATTTTGTGTCTCGCCCACTCTGCTCCAGGTACCGTTGGCTACCCAGCAGGAGAGGAGGGGTGTCAGGGTTTGGCGTGCCCCCGGCTAGCATGAGGCGAGCAGCCGATCAGAACGGCGGAGGCGGTCGACACAACTGGGGCCAGGGCTTTCGGCTCGGGGACCAGTGAAGGAGCGGCCTCTGGCCTGCCCACCAGCCTCTCCACTCAGATGACGTTTCCTCCCAGCGCGGGGTGACCTTCACCACCGAGTTCTAGCTGATGCTGTTGGATCTGACCCACACTGAATGTAGTCTTTCAGAACAAGACAACAGTTTTTTAAATCCTGGAGAAAACAAAAATGAGTGTTCCTCGAGTTTCATTATTCTCATTCAAGTCCTTACTGCTAAGAAGAACAAATTATCAACTGTGCAAGTTTCAGAACTGGTCATATTATCATTATTATTACTGGGGTTTTTTTTTGATGTCTTTTCTTCCTTTTCCACCTGAGTAATGGGTTTTGGCAGGTCCGGCTCTGCCAGCAACAAGCTGGGGCGTCTGGCATTGGGTCACCAGACCTGTCCACGGGGCTCTTACCTCTTCCTCGCACACACGTCTCCTTCCTCCTTTTCCCCTCCCTCACATTCCCAGCTAGAGGAGTCTGCCCGTGAAATGGTTCTGCCTCTGACCAGCTCTCTTTATTTACTGACCTTTGCCACGGCTTGGCCACAGAGACCTGTTCATGACGTTTCACAGTGGCAGAACCGTAACCGTCAGGCAGAAGGCAGAGCAGTGGATGAAGCTTCCTCGGCCTTTGGAATTGCCGTGACCTGCTGTCAGTTCTCACCGTTTGCCACCTCATCAGCTATTTTGATTTAAAAAAAAAAAACACCCCTGAGTCAGTGAGGACTCCAGATCGGTATTAATGAGGCACGAGAGTCATTGCTGGGCATTTTTTTTATCCTGAGTTAAGTGATCAAAACTCTAGTGGAGTTGCACCTTTCACAGGGGCTGGGTTTAACCCGGGGTGGGCATCTTGTGTAGGGCGCTGTGTGTACCCAGCATAGTGAATTTGCATTGTGCTAGAAAATTCTAGCCCACATTGGCCAAAGGGAGAAGCTCCCTTGGAAAGGCGCCTGGTCATTGATTCTACTTTGTTCTCATTCTGGGTATATGTTTATTGAGTAGAGTGGAGGGGAGAACTTTAAACCCTATTTAAGTTGTCTTTTTTTGGGGGGGTAAACTATCCCCCCATTTTCACCCCCATGGCCATATGCTTCAGTTAGTTGTGAGGAGTGTGCAGCTGCTTGTATGTAGATCTTATTTCAGGAGGTGTTATAAACACATCTCAGTGAATCACATAATTCTGGGTTGTAATGGCTTTAGACTCATCTGTGTTTGAAGGGCTTTTTTATTTTGAGTCATGAAGGTACCTCAGACCAACTTCAACACCCACAAGTCTTTTTTTACACCCCCCGCCCCCCCCCCCCCGCCAAGGTGGGCTTTTTCCATCAGAGCTAGGCTTGTCACCAAATAGTTTTTTTTTGAAGGCTATGATGTTTCTCAGTTTTCTCGTTTTATATTTTTATTCTGAAAGTGAACTGCTAGGAGCAGTGCTGAGTGGCTGCCATACTCCGAGTCAACTAAAAAGGCTCTGAACATTTGCCCAGTGGTTCTGTATAGGAAGCACTGTGCACTAGTAGGATGACTTTTTGCCCCACTCTGAAGCAGTGATGTGTGTTATTCTAGGAAATGGCGATTTGAAAACAGCTCCTCGGTTTTCATGAGGCTTGTTTGCGTGTACCTCTCCATATTTAATTTATATGATAAAATAGGAGATGGGGAGAATATGAACCCCAGCTGTTTTGTGTTCTGCTGTTGACCTGTGGCCACAATAAAATTTACTTGTGAAATTTTAAAAGCCCTTCTTCCTATTATGTCGCCTTAGCACCCACCAAGCAGGAGTGGAGACTCAGCGTGTGTGTGAGTGAGTGTGTGTGTGCGTGTAGGAAGAATCTTATGGTAAGTGAGCTAGTTTCCTGCACGCCCTCTCAGCAGCTCAAATGCCCAAGAGCAAGAGTCTTTGTGAAGGTTCCAAGTATTTAGAATTCTTCAAAGCCAAGTGTTCATTTTGTTCTTCCTTTCAAGCAAATTTAAGAAGCTGATACTCTTATTAATTTTTGTCTGGATTACCTCTCGGAATAATTTTTGCTACGCAAGCTATTTGAGATTTGATTTGGCAAGGCAAGACATGACAGTGGATTCTCTTTGTGAAAGGAAAAAGAAATCCTAATTTTGTATAGAGATTCCTTTTTTGTAACTAATCTTTTTATTGATAAAAACTATAAATTAAAACGTACAACTTGATGGTCGTCTGTCTTAAGTTTCCGTATCGCTGCTCTGCTCCTTCTTCTAGATGGGATGTGGTTTATGTAGCCAGTCATCTCTTGGTGTCCAGTGTGTGTCGCTATGATAGTGACACAGCAAACATTTTTGTAGCTACTTTCGTTCACGTGCTACAGGAAAATTTTCTACAGGAAAATACCTGTAGAATTCATTCTTGGAAGCAGGGTTTATAGGTTTTCATTATAATGAAGCAGGATGGGGCTTCCTTGGTGGCTCATGGTAAAGAGTCTGCCTGCCAGTGTAGAAGACAGGTTCAATCCCTGAGCAGGGAAGATCCCACATGCCCCAGAGCAGCTAAACCCATCCACCACAATTACTGAGCCTGTGCTCCATAGTGCTGTATAGAGCCCAGGAACCACAACTGTTGAACCTATCTGCTGCAACTGCTGAAAGCTGTGTGTCCTAGAGCCTGTACACAATAAGAGAAGCCACCGTAACAAGTTGGGTGATGGGAAGGAGCAGGGCTGTGCATCCCTGTCTTCTGGTACTGGAGAAAGGCTGAAAAAATAGGAACTGGTCTACTTGTCTTGGAGGACAACACATTGCCAGTATCACCATGTGCTAAGCTAGTTAGTCCCTCAGTCAAGTCCCAAGTTTCTGCTTCCCCATGGACTGTAGCCCACCAGGCTCATCAGTCCTTGGAATTCTCCAGACTTGAGTGGGTTGCCATTTCCTTTTCCAGGGGATCTTCCTGACCCAGGGATCGAACCTGAATCTCCCACATTGCACACAGATTCTTTACCGTCTGAGCTGCCAGGGGAGCCTGGTGCGCTGATACCTTTGGAGTAACACTAATGTAATAGGTGAGGCTGCAGTTGCTAACAGTGGGACCTGCAGTCTGCTGTTTCTGAGATCTTGGCCCCTTTGAAATTTTCAACATTAACCTTACAAAAAAGCCTAACCTTTGGAAAAATTTACTCCTCTCTGTACTGTTAGTATCTTGAAAGTCTGGGCTGAGAACATAGTCTTCCTGGCCATTTGTCTGCTTTCCATAATGGCTCTGGTGGTTCTAAATGGAACTGGAGGGAATGTCACATCATATAATTCCTTCCATGTATGGTTTACACCCAGAATACTTTCATACATTCCTCTTACTTTCCCACCTCTGCTCCTTAGGGTCAGAGAAGGCAATGGCACCCCACTCCAGTACTCTTGCCTGGAAAATCCCATGGATGGAGGAGCCTGGTAGGCTGCAGTCCATGGGGTCAATGAAGGGTCGGACACAACCGAGTGACTTCACTTTCACTTTTCACTTCCATGCCTTGGAGAAGGAAATGGCAGCCCACTTCAGTGTTCTTGCCTGGAGAATCCCAGGGACAGGGGAGCCTGGTGGGGGTCATACAGAGTTGGACACGACTGAAGCGACTTAGCAGCAGCAGCAGTTCCTTAGGGTAGAATCCTATTTTCTGCAGCACACCTGGGTATTGACCATTCATGTGACAGGTACTTCACCAATAATTTCATCCTCCAATCTTTGGTTTCCAATCTGGCTATATGTGAAAATCACTTGGGGCTTTTGAAAAAGCCAGATTTCCTGCTTCATTCTCATGCTGCATCTTTTTCAATTTCCTAATGGGGCTCGCTGGTGGCTCAGTGGTAAAGAATCGCCTGCTAATGCAGGAGACATGGGTTTGATCCCTGCTCCGGGAAGATCTCACATGCCATGGAGCAACTAAGCCCGTGTTCCTCAGCTGTTCAGCCTATGCTCTGGAGACCGGGAGCGACAACTACTGAGTCCCCGTGCGGCAGCTGCTGAAGCCCGTGCTCTGCAACAAGAGAAACCAGTGCAATGAGAAGCGCACACAACTGCAATGGAGAACCTGCACAGCCAAAAATATATAAATTTCCCAGTGATTCTGATATTCAGCTGGGTTTGGGAATTAATGTTTAAACCCACTTGTGAAGTAGGTAGTAGTATCCCCATTTCCCAAGTAAGGAAACTTAAGAGAGGTTAAGTCACTTAAGAGAGATTAAGTCATTTAAGAGCAAGCAGCTAGAAGGTACCAAAGATTAGATATGAACTCAACTCTGAGTTAAGACCTCAGAGGCTGCTTTGCAGTTGAGGAAGCCAAAGTTTAGAATCTGGTATTAAGTGGCAAAAAAAAGATTCTTTTCTTGCCAGGTTGAGGGCAGGCCAACACAGTAGGAAATATTAATTGAAGGTATAAATTCTTATCATCCTTTCATCCTTGGGGGGAATTGCCTTGTACCCTGGAAAGAAAAAATTATATTAAAAATTAATATAGTGTAATAAGTATACCAATCAATCCTAAAGGAAATCAACCCTGAGTATTCATTGGAAGGACTGATGCTGAAGCTGAAGTTCCAATATTTTGGCCACCTGATGTGAAGAACTGGCTCATTGGAAAAGACCCTGATGCTGGGAAAGATTGAAGGCCGGAGGAGAAGGGGACAACACAGGATGAGATGGTTGGATGGCATCACCGACTCAATGGACGTGAGTTTGAGCGAACTCCGGGAGATGGTGAAGGACTGGGAAGCCGGGAGTACTACAGTCCATGGGGTCGCATGGAATCGGACACAACTGAACAGCTGAATAACAAAAATAGTGTCTATTGAGTAGTGATTGGGCAGATGCAAACAGGACCTGATCTCTGTCTTCATAGCATTTTCTTTGCCCTAAGGCAGACAGCCTGGCCTGTTGTACCTACTTTCGTATTTGTTGAATAGGTGAATACAAATTATAATACAACTTGCCAAGATACTAGAATAGAAATAAATTAAAAAATTTGTATTGGATGGAGGGGTTAGGTCTTGAAAAATGGATGGAAAATTCCAGGCTGAGAAAAACAAATGGGCAGTGAGAACCACTGAAAGATTTTCACATTTGTTCCTTTAAAATAACTGAAGCACCGGGAGTGGGAGAAAGGGCTGGAGAGAGGAGCAACCGAAGGTCAGATGACTGAGTTTTGAGTTAGTTGCTGTGGTCCAGATCCAAGGTCTGCATGGGTAGGTATGAGGCTGGCCTGAACCAAAGCCATGGGATTAGGTGCTGGGCTGGGGAGACCTCCTTGAGGGAACTGCTGGAATCCAGCGAGGAAGAGGAGGCCTTGTGAGCACTGTTTCCATCGGGATTCAACGTAAGTTTTCCATAGAAACAGGTTGCCTGGTTAAAATGCTATATATGGTGCAGCACATTGCAGATAATTGGGTGATAGTGGACCAGCTTGGAAACCTAGTCACTATTTGTAAGTGTATTTCTGCAGAAAAAGAAATGAGCTCTGAACCCATGAACTTGAAAACAAACTTTTAGAACACTTTCTGAACAGGGGCTGGCTTTCCAGAAAGTCCCAGTGAAGAAGCAATTCTCTTGACTCCTGCTGCCCACCCTGGCACCAGCCTTCAGGTCCCCTAGCTTCCACATTATTTCATCAAGGAGAGGCCTCTCTAGGCTTGTAGGTCAGGTAGAATGTTCCCCCACGTTGCCACTGGTACCTGATCACTAATCAGAC